AGGATCCCAAAGAATCGATCTTTCTTTTAGTTGTTGAATCTCTCTTTGATTGATCAATGTGTGATTCCGAATCCTCATTACTAATGGAATCAAAACGATATCTGGATTAATCAGAAGATCCTTTCAATGGCTAGAATTCGTTACTTGAACGAAACTAGATCTTGTGGAATCATATTGAATATTTGACGATACATTACGTACCTTGCTAAAAAATCGATCCTGTTTACCAACCATACATTGTCAAAACCAAATCCAATTCTCTCTCGATATGTTCCTCAAAAATCGATTTGTGCGGATTCTTCCCCCAACTAACGAAGAGATCTTGGCAGATTGCACATATGAAATTGAGCACAATTTTGCAAAGAAATAGCCCTTGCCTCTCGAGAAGAGATGAGAAACATGCTTAATATCATTTGATTGAATAGTTGACCCAGCTCCTTGTTGTTTGAAGAAACCCTCCGCTTCAATTGGTATTTTTTCACGAAAAGCAAACATGAGATAACAAATCCAGTCTTTCACTAAGATTTTGAATAGATGTTCCGAGTTCAAGTTGATTATGTTTCGCCTCTTACTCGAAGAAAGACGATCAAACAATTCCCAATCATGGTCCTTACGGATCGAATCATCCATATAATATACAAAAAGAAACTCCAGATATTTGATATCTTTCTCTTTGAATGAGATCTCAATTCCAGCGACGGTTTCATTAGATATCTTACAAATAGAATCCCTCTTTTTACCGATCCAGTTCCTCCACCACCGCGAACCTCGGTTAGATTCAGGCATGATACACTTTTTAGTTATTGGGAGAACCCAAGTACTCTCTTTCGGATCCAGGAAATAGCTCTCAAAGATCTTTTTTCCTTTTGGAAGATACAGGAGCGAAACAATCAACATATTGATATTGGAAGACCCAAAAGATTCTTTCAATGTATCATTTCTGGGTCCAATGGAATTCCTAGGTATAGGAAGAAACCCTGTCAAATAGAGATTTTTTTTCTTTCGACTATATTTCGATTGTTAATACGATATATAAGGACCGCTACTACAAATAGTACTACACCCTTGATCGTGAAATATCGATTGCTTATTGAACCCTGTGAATTGCGTGAAAGTAGGATACTCCAAATTCGGGGGTCCAAGAGTTTTATAAAACATTTTTGGTGGAAAAAATGTGAATGAAAGATCCCACTGAATTGAATTGGGTCCATGAATCTAAGAAATAGTGAGAATTCTTGATCTCTCTCAATTCAAAAATCCAAGATTTGAATTGATGTCCTTTCATATATTCCTCCTAAATGCATTGATTATCTAAAGATTCATTTCAATTGGAATTTGGTTATTCACCATGTACGAGGATCCCTGCTAAGCATCAATGGCTGAATGGTTAAAGCGCCCAACTTATAATTGGCGAATTCATAGGTTCAATTCCTACTGGATGCACGCCCAACTTATAAGAACTAGCATTCTTATTGAGACTCGAACTCATAGGGAAGAAAATAGATTTATGGATGTAATCAAATATGTAGTAGTTACAGACAAAAATATTCGGTTATTGGTGAAAAATCAATATACTTCTAATGTCGAATCAGGATCAACTAGGACAGAAATAAAGCATTGGGTCGAACTCTTCTTTGGTGTCAAGGTAATAGCTATGAATAGTCATCGACTCCCCGGAAAGAGTAGAAGAATGGGACATACAATGCATTACAGGCGTGTGATCATTACGCTTCAACCGGGTTATTTTATTCCACCTCTTAGAACGAAAAGAACTTAAATCAAAATACTTAATAGCATGCGATACATTTATTGGAGATACCATTGTTTTCTGGTAGAAGTTCCTTAAAAATGGGAAATGCCCTACCTTTGAGTGCGGTTTGAACTATTGATTTACGTAATTGGAAGTAACCAATTAGGTTTACAACGAAACCTAAAAAATCGATCATGATCCAATTTGAGTACCTCTACAGGATAGACCTCAACAGAAAATGAAGAGTAACGGCAGCAAGTGATTGAGTTCAGTAGTTCTCATATAAAATTATTGACTCTAGAGATAGTAATATGGAGAAGACAAAAATTGTTTCAAACCCGACAGAACCAGAAGCGCCCCTTTTCAAAGAAAGAATGACGGGTTATTCACATTTCATTGATGGTCAGAGGAATTGAATGAAGCTAAACAGTGGTAATTCTAAAGATTCCCGGGGGGAAATAGAGATGTCTCCTACGTTACCCATAATATGTGGAAGTATTGACGTAATTTCATAGAGTCATTCGGTCTGAATGCTACATGAAGAACATAAGCCAGATGACGGAACGGGAAGACCTAGGATGTAGAAGATCATACATGAGTGTGGTTCGACAGATTTGGATTCCTATATATCCACTCATGTGGTACTTCATTGTACAATATATATAAGAATTATACGATATATATCCATCTGTATAGATATCATCATCTACATCCGGAAAGTCGTATGCTTTGGAAGAAGCTTGTACAGTTTGGGAAGGGGTTTTGATTGATCAATCAAAAAGAAGAATCTACTTTAACCGATATGCCCTTAGGCATGGCCATACATAACATAGAAATCACACTTGGAAGGGGTGAACAATTAGCTAGAGCAGCGGGTGCTGTAGCGAAACTGATAAAATTGGCCACATTAAAATTACCTTTTGGGGAGGTCCGTTTGATATCCAAAAACTACTCAGCAACAGTTGGACAGGTGGGGAATGTTGGGGTGAACCAGAAATGTTTGGGTAGAGCCGGATCTAAATGTTAGCTAGGTAAGCATCCTGTAGTAAGAGTAGTTATGAACGTGTAGACCATCCCCATGGGGGTGGTGAAGGAAGGGCTCCAATTGGTAGAAAAAAAAAACCATTTTTGTTTGTTGATTAACGATCATTGCATGTTGCTCATGCGACATTTTTTATGTATTTAATTAGTGACATGTTGAGTGTAACGTCGTAAAGAATGATAACATGATATGTGTCACGTTACCTAAAGTAAAGAATGATAAAGTAATGACATGGGTCAATCAAATTGATGACGTGAGATATATCACACCATTAATTAAATACACACTTTAACAACATTTATGACAGTTAGTCTATAAATAATTTTCATTCAACCTATGTTATTTTAACCTATAATTAAAACGATGATATATAAAATACTATAAAAAAAGATAACAAATGATATTTTTCAAACATTGATACGAGGCGAAGGCATTTGTGGTACAACCCATTTGGAGTCTGCTCTACATTAGACCCATATAAAACATAGTACAAAACAACTATATGAGTACCTTAGATGACACATCGTCCATGTAACCATAGTTTCGATTGAAGTCAGTCGGCCCAAATAAATCATCCATTTGCCATGTCTGTATGCTTCCAGGTAGGGTTGCACAGAATTCGGATTTCAATCCGATCCGGATCGGTTTATATCCGATCCGATTTTTTCCCATAGAAAAAAAACAGGTTTATAAAATAATCGGTTCGGTTTCTAACCGGTTTGGAGGGCCGGATATCCTAACCGATGTAACCGGTTTCGGTTTTAAAAAAACCGGTTTTTTTAAAATTCCGGTTATAAAAAAACCGATTTTAATATTATTAAAATTACATCGTCATCAATTGCAACAAAGCTTACGATAATTGAAATACTTAAATACTTCCAAGTTCGATAAATTAAAATACTTAAAAACTTCCAAGTTCGATAAATTCAAATACTTAAAAACTTCAAGTTCGATAATTGAAATAAAGTTTACGATAATTGAAATAAAGTTTAAAAATAAACTACATTGCCATCTCTTCTTCATCATCTTCGCCTTCTTCGTTTGGAGGGGATATTCCAAGTTCGACTTCTTCAATGTGTAAGTTTGCTTCCAATTCGGCATCAATTGCATCTTCTAGGGTGGTAATATGTTGTTTACGAGCCGCTCCATCCAAATAATCCTTCAAACAAATGCATACTTCCATCGACTTGGGACTTAGTCTTGATCTCCGTTGCGATATAACCCTGCCACTAACAGAAAAAGCGGATTCCGAAGCTACCGTAAAAGCTTGGACGGTTAGTAAATCACGGGCCATGGCGGCTAGAATCGGAAATTGTGCTTCCTTTTCTTTCCACCAAGCCAAAATATCCAAACTTTCAAACTCTTCAAATGTCATTTTTGATAGAAAAAAGCATGACATGTAATTTCCCAATCGCTACTTGGGGTGGTAGTACGTGATCGTTTGGATTGGGAATTTACAAGAGTGTTAAAAAGATTCAAATTTATGTTACTTGGACGTCTACTAGATGATTCCACATTCATTCTCATTTGATCGTGTATTACACTACTTGATCCGTATTTAGTTAAATAAATTGCAAACATGTCTCGAAAACATTTGTTAAAATAATTTATTTGGTTTTGGACAAAGTTGGGTTCATCATCGGTTAGATTAAAAGCAAACACAATTTGTTCAATTAGTATTTCAACCCCGCCAACATTTAACGTTGGGTTTAAAGCGGCGGCACAAGTAAAAATGGGGGGAATCTCCTTAAAATATTTTAAAAGTTTTTCCTTCATTGCAAAGCCAATTTCTTGAAAAACTTCGGTTTCAAATTCAAAGTCATTTAGTCGGGTAGCCAACAAAAATATTTGATTAAGAACCAACGGGCTAGTAGGGTAATAAACACCGGATAAAAAAGTTATTGCATTTTTAAAAGCCCCAAGCAAATCAGTTATTTTAGCTATAGTTTCCCAACTCGAATCCGGATAAATGTTTGGGATATAACCCCTTTCGAAAAGTCGATCGTGAAATGTTTGCAATGTTTCCCTTTGCCTTAAGGCAGTATGTATCATCATCCAAGTTGAGTTCCAACGAGTTGGACAATCCAAATTAGGACCCAAAGCTTTTTTATTAATGGTCATCTTTATAGGAGCATTGTAGGTGGTCTTTAGTACATTTGTTTGACTCGACTTGTTGTTGCATTTGCTGTTAATAAGGTCAGTTAGTTTATGAACAGCCTCTGTGAGACTCACTGGAAGGCTGTAAAGAGGATCCTACGTTATCTTTCAGGCACTCTCTATTTTGGACTGATTTTTCGAGCTTCAGGTGATTTCTCTCTTGTTTGTTACGCTAATGCAGATTGGGCTGCTTCTGTTGATGACCGAAGGTCCACAAATGGATATTGTGTTTATTTGGGTGGGAATCTGATTAAATGGTGCTCTAAGAAACAGTCTGTGGTTTCTAAATCCACCTCGGAAGCTGAGTACAGGAGTCTTGCCAACCCTGTTGCTGAATTGATCTGGGTAGAGGAGCTTTTAGGTGAAATTGGTGTTGATTTGCATGGAAAACCTGTTTGTGTGGTGTGATAACACTTCAACTGTGTCTATAGCTACTAATCCTACTCATCATGCTTGAATTAAGCATGTTGAGATTGATCTGCATTTTGATCGAGTTCCTGCAGGGAAGCTTTTTGTTAATTTTCTGCCGTCAACTGAGCAAGTTACTGATTTGCTCAGTAAACCTATACCTCCTGCTGTTTTTCCTCTTATGCGTGACAGACTTGGAGTGGTAAATCTTGATAGATGTTTTACAGGAGCAAAGAAGGAAAACCAGGAGAATGATAGAATATACACTTAACTATGGCTATGTAGTTAAGCCAGGCTGGCTGGTTTTTAGGTGGTTAGTAATATAGTTCTGATTAGTCGAGTTAATTAGCTGTTTAGTCAATTGCAGTCGAGCCTTATAAATTTGTAATGTACTGGGCCTTTGAAAGTGTAAAAACAGAATATTATTTTCAATAGTCAATGAGTCAAAATCCCTAGATTACAGTTTTGTTCTTTCTATTTTCACGTATCAGTATCTTTCTTTCAAGTCATGCTTATTTTCTTGAAATCCTATTATGGCGTGTATACTGACCTGAAATGGAAATATGAGAGAACACTCCCACATCACAACATATGAGACATTGCTCTACGATATGCTCCTCAATTTTCCTTGATTAACAAGAAGAGCGAATTCACACATTTACTTCTAAATCAAGTCAACATGGGAGGAAAAGCCAAACAATGAAAGAGAGTACTAGGGAAAAAATAATCTAAATCTCATATTGCTATAAAAATATAAAACCGACTACATGTAGATGTATTAAAAAAAAACAGATCCAAAGCGGAATTTCAGTTTTATTTCTTAGGTGACATAGACAACACAATATCTGATGACTTCGCATTCACTCTCAGATAGAGGGATGGATATGTATTACTTTTAAAACCTTAACAATCAAAAACGTCAATAGTCTGTGCATGTTTGATGGATTTGCAGGTCAGTTTCCGAAAAAGTGGTATTCTGCCTGCTTTTACTGAGAAGGAGAGATTAAAAAATATAATAACCAAAGCCTCCGGCACAAAAGGAAATGGATGGGTTCAATTTTTAGATGATCTTTTAATGATTAGATTGTTATAAAGTCCATCTTAACAAGGTTTTAAACTTTATACATCATCTATTTCCACTAAGCACCAACTGGCTAACCCAACCACCGTCATGGTCATAAGGGAGACAGAAAGCACACTAATCTTGAAAGAAAATTAATAAAATTCTCATAAACACCTTTGGCTTTTCTTCATTCTTTACCCCAGATTTACTGTAATGCCCCAAAAATTTAATTAAGGATTAAATTGAAATAATTTGAATATAAGAGGATTTATTAAATTAAATAATGAAAGATGAGGATGAAAAGGATTCGTGATTTAGACTAAATTGTGAGAAATGATGATTAAAAGGATATTTTGGTCATTGGGATTAAAATTGAATTAAAATTCAATTAAAAGGTATTGGGTAATTAAATAAGGAGATAAGAGGATGAGTGGGGGGAATAGGAAGTCAACTCTTCTCTTCTTCTCTTCCTTTTCTTGCCGTGGGTGAGCTCCTCCATTTAGCTCAAAGGTAAGCTTTTATTTTAAGGGTTATTTTCTTCGATTTTGTTGGGGGATTGAAGCTTTGTATATTATGGAAGCTAAAAGAAGGTTTAAAGAAGATTAAAACTAAGTTATTGATGAGATGTTAGAGATTTAAGATAATGGGTTTTTGAATGACAAGATGAAATATGAAGGTTTATGGATGTTTCATAGAAGATTTGACTTGTCATCAACCTAATTAAGGGATATGAAGTGTTAGAATTGGATTTAGAATATGTTGAAAATTGAGTATGATTCTTGAATCTCATGTATAAGATATGATTTTGAGGTTAAGTATGTATTGAATGAGTATTAATGAGTTAAGCAAGTATATGTGATTTAAGAACATGAAAGGGGAGGAAACATGGATTATTGAAATTGAAAAGAGTGAAATTTCGTGCTTAAAATGAGGTTTCTGGGCAAGATGCATCGATGCATAGGTTGTGCACCGATGCATACCTAAAAATAATAATAAACATCGAAGGTAGTTAGTGCATCGATGCACAGGTAGTGCATCGATGCATCCTTCAAGATGAAAACATCGAATGTAATATATGCATCGATGCATAGGTTGTGCACCGATGCATCTGTGAGAGAATGCATCGATGCACTATGAAATGTACTGATGCATGAGTTAAATAAATAAACGAAAATAGCCTTTCTTTTATCTTAAGAAATGAAAGATTTAGATATACTAATATATGATATTGAATGTGTCTTTAATGGATACTTGAGTAGATCGAAACCAAGCTACCGAGTCTAGCAAAACAAAAGACAAAGACAAAGTAGCTGAGTAATCAGATTTGCGTATTGGAAATAATAGCAAGGCGAATCAGGTGAGTGCATTAAATTATGTACGTACATGTGGTAATAGTTAAAATAGCATGATCTATTAATGTATATATTGTGTTTACCAAATGGCACTATATGTGCAAAAATGTTAAGGAAAGCATACTAAGTGTATGGATTTCCATATAGAGCACTAAGTGTGCTAAAATGTTAAGGAAATCATATTGAATATATGTATTTCCATATAGGGCACTTTGTGTGCTAAAATGGTAAGGGAATCATACTAAGTGTATGGATTTCTATATGAAGCACTAAGTGTGCTAAAATGTTAAGGAAATCATATTGAATATATGTATTTCCATATAGGGCACTTTGTGTGCTAAAATGGTAAGGGAATCATACTAAGTGTATGGATTTCCATATGGAGCACTTTGTGTGCTAAAATGTTAAGGAAATCATATTGAATATATGTATTTCCATATGGAGCATTTTGTGTGCTAAAATGTTAAGGAAATCATATTGAATATATGTATTTCCATATAGGGCACTTTGTGTGCTAAAATGGTAAGGGAATCATACTAAGTGTATGGATTTCTATAAGGAGCACTAAGTGTGCTAAAATGTGAAGGAAAACATATTGAATATATGTATTTCCATATAGGGCACTAAGTGTGCTAAAATGTTAAGGAAATCATACTAAGTGTATGGATTTCTATATGGAGCACTAAGTGTGCTAAAATGTGAAGGAAAACATATTGAATATATGTATTTCCATATAGGGCACTAAGTGTGCTAAAATGTTAAGGAAATCATACTAAGTGTATGGATTTCTATATGGAGCACTAAGTGTGCTAAAATGTGAAGGAAAACATATTGAATATATGTATTTCCATATAGGGCACTAAGTGTGCTAAAATGTTAAGGAAATCATACTAAGTGTATGGATTTCAATATGGGGCACTAAGTGTGCTAAAATGTTAAGGAAATCATATTGAATATATGGATTTCCATATAGGGCATTATATGTGCTAAAAATGGTAAAAGAATCATACAAATTGTATGAATTCTTGAATAGGGCACTTTGTATGCTAGAATGAGAAGGAAATCATAATAAGTATATGGTATTTCAAATGGAGTACTGAGAGTGTTAAGATTATGAGAAAATTATATGAATGGTATGAATTTCTTATGGAATGTATGGATTCCAATAATGACGAGTACGTATATATAATGATAAGTATATTGGTAAAATAAGCTTACAAGCTTATGGAATAATGGTAAGTAGATTGTAAAATAAGCTTACGAGCTTATGGAAAAATGGTAAGTATATTGGTAAAATAAGCTTACGAGCTTATGAAATAATGGTAAGTATATTGGTAAAATAAGCTTACGAGCTTATGGAAAAATGGTAAGTATATATTGGTAAAATAAGCTTACAAGCTTAAGGAATAATGGTAAGAAGATTGATAAGAAATGTTATATTATGAGGATCATAATAAAACATTGGATATGTTAATAAAATGACCTTATGATATTTATTTATGACATTGAGATTCATGCTTGAAGTGTATTGCACTGTTTATTGTTTTAATTGCCTCACTAAGTTTATACTTAACGTGTGATGATTTTTACGCGTAGGTAAAAAGCCGGTAGTGGAATAAAGAGTGCAATCTGACATCAAGCATCGAGGAGTATATATCAATATCAGTAAGACATCCTATGATGGAATTTTTGACATAGATAGTGGCATGTAAATAATAATGTTCAATTTATTTTATTGAAGTAAGTTGGGAACAAAATAGTGAATTTTACAGTGATGAAAGGTTAAGTTTTAAGTATTTTTCGGAAATTACTGTAGCAGTGCATCGGTACACTGCACGTTGTTCAATATTCACTATACATAAAAAGAAAAATAAATTTGTACGAATTTTTACTTAGTAAACTGTTTCGAAAGTGATGGGACATCTGTATCTCGTATACATAAAGGTATACGGGAGATGGGTGTTACATTTACAATGCAAAATAATCATATGAGTCGTTAGAAAATGAGTAAACCATTAAAACTTTAAATCTGAAAATGTGATAAAGCATCTGCAAGTTCAAATGTTTGCCATTGGAAGTTAACCTGCAAAAGCTTCTTTGGAAAGATCAATGCGATCTTTAATTGCAAAAAAAAAAAAGTAAAAAAAACCATTGCTTTCAAGAAGATATCATCTAGTTCTAGATCAATGTCCTTTGTTATTGACATGCCAAATGGACAGTAAACATAGGGAAGCATCTTTCCTTTTTCTTTTTCCTGATGCCCATCGTTAGAAATCAAACTCAACTTTGCAACCATATGTTGGCAAGGAGAATTGTATAGAAGCTACTTGAATTAGCATGTGCATATAAAGGTGGCAAAAATATAAACCACAAAATAATGGAGGCATCACCTGAAGAATTTCACCACGGCAAGGAATTGACCAATGAAAGGTGGTATTTACAAAGCAAATTAATATGGCAACAAATCGCTTATCAATTAAGAACCATCAATTAACGTGGCAAAACATGATGGAGGCAGCAAGCAAGGTTTTATCACAACAAATTCAAGGCGGTACAATGGAGCTTAATGAGTCGGTTAATTACATCTATATATGTGTTAGTAGTCTAGAGTATGTAATACGAGTTATATACGAGTAAAAAAAATCTTAAACTAGCCGCAATTAGTGGTGTAGTATTGGGGTAAAGTCGTTATAATGTATTTTGCCTCGTATCAATAATAGTTCAAGTTATAAAGTATATCGAAGTGCCCACTTACGCTTCTAACAAGTGGTATCTAGAGCTTGGTTTGAGTTTAACGTGGTGAAGAAAATGGCTAACATGATTCAACCTCAAATACCGAGATTGATAAAAACAAAC